CAATTAAAAAATATTACTTAATTTAACACTTTAGAAGGATAATCCCTCGCTATAGTTCCCTAATAGAGGCAAATTTAATCGAATGACGTAACATGGTGAATACAAGAGAGCTGTACTTACTTCCCAATACTCTACAGTCGACGTGAGGCACTTGGATTACACACCAACACACAGGCCAAGCTCTCTGTCTCACTCTCTCTCTCTCTCTCTCTCTCTCTCTCTCTCTCTCTCTCTCTCTCTCTCTCTCTCTCTCTCTCTCTCTCCCCTCTCTCACTCTCTCTCTCTCTCTCTCTCTCTCTCTCTCTCTCTCTCTCTCTCTCTCTCTCTCTCTCTCTCTCTCTCTCTCTCTCTCTCTCTCTCTCTCTCTCTCTCTCTCTCTCTCTCTCTCTCTCTCTCTCTCTCTCTCTCTCTCTCTGTCTCTGTCTCTGTCTCTCCCTCTCTCTCTCTCTCTCTCTCTCTCTGTATACTCAGTGTGAACTTGGTGTGATACAGGTGTAAGGGGCCTACGAGAGCCCGGCAGCCATTGTTGCAGAAGTAGCGATCCTGGTGGATTAGCACATCACTGACATCTTCCATGACCTGCACGTTGACCCGAGTTGACCTGGCGCTTGGTGTAGCGTCGCGCCCACACCCTCCAACTGTTGCTCTTCTCCTGTTTTACTATGTATTGGTCTCTTCTTACGCCTTCTGCTTCTCTCCTTCATTCAATCTCTCTCTCTGTCTTCCACCCACATTCATGAATGAACCACCACTCCTGCTACTACTATCCCCTCACTTACACTTGAGGGACTTGCACACTTAACATACCAATACCTCTACCTCACTCTTGCTACGTAGACACACGTGGAGCCCTCCAACACGGCGTCGTGGTCTCTGCCTTACTGGGAATATTCCTTACGGAATATGTGAATGACACGTGAGGCTTTGTTTACATTCTCAGCGACCGAGGAGCCCCCGGTCTCAACAACAAAGGTCAGCTGCTCGTTAATGGAGCCACTGTTTATCAGTGAAAAGCGGTTTACGCACGACGCACAACTAATGACGCATGTGTTCGTCTTGAACAGTGCTCCACTGATCACCGCTGCTCGAATCGCCAATCTAAAAGTGCTTCACCCACCGTGAGAAAAAACCTAGTAACACATCTGGAGAGAAGGGACTTTCCTCACAAATTGCCAACATGGGTTTAGGGAGGGTAAATCTTGCCTGACTGCCTTAATAGAATTCTACGACCAGGTGACAAAGATTAAGCAAGAAAGAGAAGGCTGGGCGGACTGCATTTTCTTGGATTGTCGGAAAGCCCAAACGTAAATAGTCGCCAGCAGAATCTATAAACACCTAACATAACCAACGCCTAACTATATACTGAATTTTATTGTATAATAATATTATTTTGTTTATGAGAAGAAACAAGTTTTTTATTACACAGTATGTTAAACTTGCTGAATATGTCTTAAGGCACGGCCGCTGCATTAACAAGCCTAGCCTGAGGACGCGTTGACCGAGCAACGTTTAGTATCATTAACGACTCCATAGTCCAGCATGATCACCCAGTCTGTGATCACCCTGTTTAGGATCATCCACTTTAGGATCACCTAGTCTGTGATCACTCAGTCTATGATCAGAGAATTAACAAAGACTTCACCTTTCTCTCTCCTAAATTAAAGACTTCACTTCACCTCTCCTCTCCCCCCCCCCATGTACTTCGTATGTACAAATTATTCGTATTCGCAGCCTACAGTTTAGGCCTATTGTCTTATGTATGACCCTCTGTCCTGCGTGACAGTGAATACTAGCATTATCCTCAATTTAATAAGACTATCAAAATCCTCAGATTAGGCAAAATTGTAATTAATTTTGTCAATAAAGATGTTAATAATAATAATAATTCGTGGTACAATTTCCACCTCTGGCTGGAAGAAGGGGACCCATAGCCTCGGAGAAAAGCACACACACACAATGCACTTGAGGGAAGATTTAAGTCCCTCCCCCATTACAATTTCTATTTTTGTTCCTACCCAACACCCTTCTTTTTGTTCCTACCCAACACCCTTCTTTTTGTTCCTACCCAACACCCTTCTTTTTGTTCCTACCCAACACCCTTCTTTTTGTTCCTACCCAACACCCTTCTTTTTGTTCCTACCCAACACCCTTCTTTTTGTTCCTACCCAACACCCTTCTTTTTGTTCCTACCCAACACCCTTCTTTTTGTTCCTACCCAACACCCTTCTTTTTGTTTTCTTTTGCTATATTTGATATTTTATAGGTTAAAAGTTACTCGTTGGTGAGGCTAAATAAATAAAATAAAATAAATAAAGAGTTAAAGGTTGTGGATCTTGGAGCTCCTCAGCTACCAGAGAGGAACCGAGGACACAGCCTGTGTTTCCCCTCTGGGAAACTGAGGCACTGAGACAGGAAACTGGGTCTCTGGTAGTGTCAACGAGCCTAAAACTTAATTCTATGATAGAGCCCAAGGCACCCCCCCCCCCCACCTGCTAGGGCCTACCGTCTCAGATGTTATGGGAAGAAAAGTGCTCTGGCCTTCCAGTTGCTTGTACTTGTTTGATTGTACTGCTTCCCTGTGATGGCTGTACAGCATGCTTGTTCCACTCTTAGGGGTATATAGGTGTCAGCCAGAGTGGGTACACATGTATAGTCCTACATCAGTTGCTTGCCCCTCTCACAGGAATATATTGACATATCTTGGTATACCACGGTATCCCTAGGGGTTTTGGACCTTTAGCATGTGAGGTTCTATCTCTGCTGGGCACTGAGCTGAGGCAAGACTCCTCTTGATGATGTCAATTAACTTCGCTGTATCTTGCATGCCAATCTTTGGAGCTTCACTAGTGCAGTCCACACAATCCATACTGGTCAGCTACCAATTTCTTATATCCTCCATAAAGTATCTAAATTTCCGGAAAGAGCGCCATAATCCAAGAACCAGATGTAAGAAGACTCGCTCACCCGTAAGACTATCAGTAACCTCTTTGTTAGCTACGTGAAAAGAAAGGAAGGGGGGCCTAAGGCATTACCCTGTTGGACACCCTCACAGGAGTCTATTTCATGCTCGTCAAAAAGAAACTTAACTGTAGTTTCTGCTGTAGCACGACTGGATGATATGATACAGGGGAGGGAAATGGCTACATACAGCTTGGAAAAAACCCACGCAGGAATATGTTTGATTATCAATAACTAATGAGTATTTAGTTCCGGGAATTTCGTGGTGCAAGAGCTCCCAGGAAGGTGAACAACCAGGGCACGGCTCCTGTCAGCCAGGACCACACCTCGGCCTCTGCTGACCGACACATTCCCCAATACAATTAAAGGATATTTACCCATGGTAATTTATAATCACGGAGTAGCATGTCTACGGCCATGAATACTCTCGTTGTTCATACTTCGTAACTGTATTTCACAAGGGACTCTTGTTGCCTGAGCCGCTGTAGTGAATGTGAGGGCGGGCTCATCCTAGCACTACACCCAGTACTACACCCAGCACTACACCCAGTACTACACCCAGTACTACACCCTAGTACACACCCCTGGACGCGCCCAGTGCTCGCTTCATGAAACCGCCCACAACTCGACTCTCAGTTTCCCCACATATAAAACCCCTGCTGCTTCGAGAGCATAAATGTCGTCGTTTGGGCTACAATATTACATGGCATTCTATAAGAATTTGTTTAATTTTAGCAAGAACCACATTTAGCCACCTATTGCATTCTTGTTTTAGTAACATCATCCAGGGGTGTGCTGGAACACCATCCAGGTGTGTGCTGGAATACCATCCAGGTGTATGCTGGAACACCATCCAGGAGTGTGCTGGAACACCATCCAGGTGTGTGCTGGAACACCATCCAGGTGTATGCTGGAACACCATCCAGGTGTGTGCTGGAACACCATCCAGGTGTGTGCTGGAACACCATCCAGGTGTGTGCTGAAACACCATCCAGGTGTGTGCTGGAACACCATCCAGGAGTGTGCTGGAACACCATCCAGGAGTGTGCTGGAACACCATCCAGGGGTGTGCTGGAACACCATCCAGGTGTGTGCTGGAACACCATCCAGGTGTGTGCTGGAACACCATCCAGGAGTGTGCTGGAACACCATCCAGGAGTGTGCTGGAACACCATCCAGGAGGGTGCTGGAACATCATCCAGGAGTGTGCTTGAACACTATTCAGGAGTGTGCTGGAACACCATCCAGGTGTGTGCTGGAACACCATCCAGGGGTGTGCTGGAACACCATCCAGGTGTATGCTGGAACACCATCCAGGTGTGTGCTGGAACACCATCCAGGGGTGTGCTGGAACACCATCCAGGTGTGTGCTGGAACACCATCCAGGTGTGTGCTGGAACACCATCCAGGTGTGTGCTGGAACACCATCCAGGTGTGTGCTGGAACACCATCCAGGGATGTGCTGGAACACCATCCAGGTGTGTGCTGGAACACCATCCAGGTGTGTGCTGGAACACCATCCAGGTGTGTGCTGGAACACCATCCAGGTGTGTGCTGGAACACCATCCAGGTGTGTGCTGGAACACATTCTAGGTGTGTGCTGGAACACCATCCAGGTGTGTGCTGGAACACATTCTAGGTGTGTGCTGGAACACCATCCAGGTGTGTGCTGGAACACCATCCAGGTGTGTGCTGGAACACCATCCAGGTGTGTGCTGGAACACCATCCAGTAGTGTGCTGGAACACCATCCAGGAGTGTGCTGGAACACCACCCAGTAGTGTGCTGGAACACCATCCAGGAGTGTGCTGGAACACCATCCAGGAGTGTGCTGGAACACCACCCAGTAGTGTGCTGGAACACCATCCAGGAGTGTGCTGGAACACCACCCAGTAGTGTGCTGGAACACCATCCAGAGTGTGCTGGAACAGGTGTGTGCTGGAAACACACTCCAGTAGTGTGCTGGAACACCATCCAGTAGTGTGCTGGAACACCATCCAGTAGTGCTGGAACACCACCCAGTAGTGCTGGAACTCCACCCAG